AGGGCCATTCGGGTGATTTCTGTTATCGTTATGATTTGAAAATTTGCCAAACTATGTAATGATAAATCGCTTCATATGATCACTGTCCCTAAATAAAACACAACTGTATCTACCCTATGGTTCATTCTAAACCAGTAACCAATAGAAATGGCTAGGTAATGTTGTTTTTGGATGTAATCTTTACTGGACACCTTTCCTATTACATAGACAACAGGAATACCTTCCATATTTGTCTGTGCATATTTCTGCTTATGGGCCACCCATGAAATTGTGGGCCACCCATGATAACTGTTCCATGTCTGATGTCCTCAGGATACCATGTACTGCTTCCTTTATCCTTTGTTGTTTACATTCTTATTTCTTTTGTTGTTCAAAAGCAGTAAAGATTGATCACATATAAAATCTTAGCTGCTTGGCTGTTTCTGGCTTCAGTAGACCCTGAGAAATGCCCCAGGCCCCGAATAATGGGGCATTGCACTGAGAAGGTGTTGCCATTATTTATTTTATTTATTACAAGTACTTATATAGCGCTGTCAATTTAGGCAGTGCTTTACATATATATTGTACATTCACATCAGTCCCTAACCCTCAAGGGGCCATTATTCTCTATTGTGGGCCTCACAGCATGTGAAATGTAGAAAACTGGAACGACCCACCATATGAACACTACTCCAGGCTGGAAATTTTTGGAAACTACATAAGCTCTTTCAATATTTAAAAATGTATATTTTAGGTCTCATGCACAATGGGTGTTTAGTCCGATGCATGAGCCTAGAGACGCAGACTGCTTGTGTTCCAGGCATTGGCCTCTGGGCATATTCTGCCCTAAACCTTAGTACCACTCAGTACACCATCCAGCCACAGCTTTCAACCTCTCATAGGGTTTAACAGGCTGCCGGAAGTGGGGGTGGGGGGTGCGTTTACGCCTTTATGCCTGCATCTAAACGCCAGGATGTCATGCCCAGTATACACGAGACCTTCATTTTTCTAATCATTTTGATTTTTTTTTACATTAATTTTAGCAGACAAAGAGGGGATTGCTAAGAAGGGTGCTGGGAAAGCCGAGCACACGGGAACCTTCGCATATATCGGTAGAACAGATGGGGCAGATCCCATGCACACTGTACTGGCTGGGGAGTGCCTGAGAGCATCACACCTGGATGGCGTCTCTATGGCAACTCCACACTCTGGATTCTCAACTTCCAGTCTGAATAAATGAATGAACAAGGGAAAGGAATATGCTTCACTCCCCTTGCTCAGTCAGTGGAGAGATGGGTAGGTGGGTTGCTAGGCAACAGTGTTCCATAGACTGGAGTCCTTTGAAATTAACAAAGCTGACCCACTCACAGTTTCAGAACGCTCCTTTAAAAAAAAAAAAAAAAAACCTTTATTCAAAGGTTAGTGGGAAAAGCTGCAGCAGCAAGAAAGATAGAGAAGAGAATAAATAGACGGCCAGCAGTAAAAAAAACAAAAAAACAGATAAAACAGAAAAGGAAATGGAGAAATAATGACTTTACATTTGTACTTGAGAACCCATCTGAAACAGGAAACAAGGATACAAGGGACACACAACTGTGATCGAGCCACTTCCACACTGTATTGTGTGTGCCCAGCACAGAGCCCGCTGAAAGGGTTGAGATAGCAGGTGAATGTGCAAAACCTGGGATTTAAGGGAATTATTGTTTCCAATAGACACATAGAAATTGGGAGACATGCATACAAAGAGTTATAAAAAAAGAAACAAAAAATTGTTCATTAAAATACCAATGGTTCATAAATAGAATAAATGGCAACATGGCAATTACCGTATTTTTCACTCCGTAAGACGCACCTGACCATAAGACGCAGCTAGGTTTTAGAGGAGGAAAACAAGAAAAAAAATATTCTAAACCAATGGACTGCAGATATAGTACGGGAGATGACCAAAGACTGCGGACGCGGTACGGGAGATGACCAGAGACTGCGGACGCGGTACGGGAGATGACCAGAGACTGGACGGACGCGGTACGGGAGATGACCAGAGACTGCGGACGCGGTACGGGAGATGACCAGAGACTGCGGACCAGCGGTACGGGAGATGACCAGAGACTGCGCGTATGTGGTACGGGAGATGACCAGAGACTGCGGACAGCCGGACCATTCACAAAGTGCAGTGCTTCTCGCGCATGTGCAGTGGGCACCCGGCTGTGAAGCCGCAAGCCGTCACAGCCGGGTGCCCACAGTAAAGATGCCGGCGTCGGGTAGAATAGACAGTGAGGACATCGCTGGACCAAGGAACACAGAAGAGCCGAGCGGTCAGCCTGGTATTCTAACACGGTGGCAGCAGGAATACCGGGCCGGCCGCTACATAGGATGCACAGGCATTTTCCCACATCTTTTGGGGGGGGGGGGGGGGGTGTGTCTTATGGAGCAACAAATATGGTTAACTTTGTGAATAGACCCGATATTGCAGTTACATATGCAACAGTTTATTTCACAAACATTTTTTTTTTCAATTTACAGGGTCTAAAAATATGTACATATTAAAAATAATGCAATCATACAAAAGAAGACGTTGGGAGAATCAAGTAATAAAGTAAGTGCCATATGTGGGCTACAGAGGGAGTCCATACGTCAGTTTAAAAGAATCTTCCTGAAAGAGGAGTTGACCATTGCTCACATCTTCAGAAAAACTCTAGTTTTAATTTCTTTTGTCAGAAAAAGATCATATAAATGATAAATATTTTGCATTCTCCCCTCCAGCAAGTAGGTGGGGGGGTCTATGATTCTTTGTAAAAAGTTTTTCAGGCTGTTCTGAAAGGGGTGTACTTATTTAAAAATTAGCATAGCTGTTTGTCTATGGAAATTGAATATAAATTTATTTTGTGCAAATGGGACAAAATCAAATGTTCTGAGTCTATATTCTCTACTGATTGAATGTGTGAATGGGGAAAATGCCACATCCCAACCACTAGATGGCACTGTCATAGAAAATAAGTATGTTCCTCAGCCCCACCTAGTGACCATATTGAGGTATTGTCTGCATTCACACATTCAAACTGCAGAAAATATAGTCTGTGAACATTTGATTTTGCCCCATTTGCACAGTTTTGGTGAATAATCAGCTATGCAATTAACAAAAAAAAACCAAAAATAAAAGTGTTTATAAACCCATAACATATTGCTAATATAATTCCAAGATGTATTTTATGTTTTTAAATCTGCAGCTTTAATTAAAATGCTACTTAGTGATCCTGCCATGAAAATCCTTGTTTAGGCACCTCCTGTTATACAGTGACAACTCTCCATCTCTGTCACCGAATTGTGCTTTTTTGCTGCCACCTTGTGGATTCCAATGCAAACTACAAGTGACAGTCAACACACATTTCCCAGGCATGGTCCACTGTTGTGACCATTAGGATACCCGCCCTGAGAAATGCCATGCAACCATTGTTGGAGTGAATGTGGCTGCAACAAAGGATAAAAAAAAAGTATTTCATTAAAATATTAGCCCTTTATCATACAATATGTCATTCAGATTTAAGTTCAGGGATCACATCTACTTTAACTGCTAATTAAGCATCAGGAATCAGTTGAAATTCAAGCCATGTATGGCCAGCTTAAGTGTTGTCAGCATTTGAGGATTCGGAGAGGGAGGGTTGCGCAGCACAGAATCCTAAAAATAGGTTGCAGCCCCGCGCAGAGGTACAGTGAAAGCTTTCTGACTCTAATTTCAACGGAGAACCAAAAAAAAAAAAAAAAAAAAAACGCTCTAATTAAAGGTGAACTTGACAGACATTTGCACTTTAGCCCATTTGCCATATTTCCTTTGTTTTATTGATTTTACTTGTTGTCTGGTTTCACTTTTTAAAGTCAAATTTCCTTCACAAAGCTAGTTCTGATATAAAACCTGAGGAGTTGCTATTAATGAAAGCAGCTGTTACCATAGTGACCAATATTTAATATTTCATTGGAATCTCTTGCCAAACAATCTTTGTGCAGAAAATGAAATGCAAACGACTTCGAATCAAAGACCTTGTTATCAGCCTCATTTCTTCTGGAGAATTCACAGACCGGGTTTTGTTATGACTTTAGGTTATTTGACAACACAGCTTTAAAGTTTTTATTTATTGGGATTGATTCTTATTTAGTAGTTTTGCAGACATTGCAATTCTGTATGGTAAAAAAAAAGAAATATTTTTGATAAATATTTTGTATTCTCATATGCAGCCAACAGGTGGAGAACTCGGATTTTATTCACGATTAGCAGGCTGTTAGAGTGTTTGTAAACCCATTGCATCTAATGATCCCCTGCAGATGTTAAAGTGTATGTGAACCCTCACCTTGTAAAATGATCCATTCAGTTTAAAATAAAAAATGAGAGGCAAACATTTGTGTATACATATACAAAACATTAAACATACTTTTTTTTTCCCCCTTTGTTATAAGTGATCACATATCCTCTTTTCTCAGCTGCACAAGGATCTCAGGGTGGAGAAACAGCAGCACACTGGTCATCCCAGTGAATGGCTGTAAGGGGGGGGGCTGTCAACCCAAGCCTGATCATTGGATTTGCTCCCAGCACAGCCAGAAAACTAATCACGCTGTGCTCTCATGCCTAGTGTGGTCAGTTTTTAATAGGAAACCAAATGGACTGGCAGGAACACCAGGGATTTCACACAAAAGAAGCAATACAAACGGAACCGGATACTTTTTCATACAAGTGCATGGTACAGCAGGCACATATCAGGAATATGAAATGATGGGTTTACGTATTGTTTATATAATGAGTTCAGGCTGCAATCCTTAAAGTGGAAGTAAAGTTTTTCTTCAGCTTGTACCTCCTGGTCAGTCTATAATAAGGCTTACCTGTAGGTACATTGAATCTCTTAGATTGTAAGCTCCCAGGATCAGGGCCCTCCTATCCCTCTTGTATTGAACTGTATTGTTGCTGTATTGTCTCCCGTTATATTGTAAAGTGCTGAGCAAACTGTTGGCTCTATATAAATACTGTATAATAATAATATCTCTTAAACCGTACGATATTCACACTGCATGCAGTCGGTGACGTCACTGGCGCATGTGTTCTACAGGGATGGCATACCTGTGCTGTCCCTTCAGAGTTCCGTGCTGTGGAAGGGATGTCATTGTGGCTCGGCCAATCAGACCTCAGGAGCATGTGAACCTGGAAGAAAAACAGGTTAAGATGGTAGCCCTGTCAATGGTGACAGTGCGCAGCGCGGTGATCGGTGTTGCACTGTGTCCTTCGGACACAGCTGATCACCGATCAACAGAAAGAGCCGAAGATGTCGGCTCGGTCATGTGATCAGCTGTGTCCAATCACAGCTGATCGCATGTAAATAGGGAAATGCCGGTTTTCGGCATTTCTCTGCTCATGAGCTGTCACGCTGACAGCTCGAGAGGAGAGCCTGTAATCGGCATTCCTTGAAGGGGGACATGTACACTGACATGTCCCCTTCAAGGGGACATGTACACATGTACTCAGGGCATTGATGATCAGTGTACCCTGATGATCAGTGTAGCCCCAGCAGTGCCACCTGTCAGTGTTCATCAATGCCAGCTGTCTGTGCCCATCAGTGCCACATATCAGTGCCTACTAGTGCACATCTGAGCTGCCAGCGCCACCTATCAGTGCCACCTGTGCTGCCTATCAGTTCTGCCTAATAGTGCCAGTCAGTGCCACCTAACAGTGCCAGTCAGTGCTGCCTATCAGTTCTGCCTAATAGTGCCAGTCAGTGCCACCTAACAGTGCCAGTCAGTGCCGCCTATCAGTGCCAAAAAATAAATGCTGTCTTTCAGTGCGCATCAGTGATGCCTGCGAATGCCCATCAGTGTCACCTACCAGTGCCTCATCAGTGCCACTTATCAGTGCCCATCATGCAGCCTCTCAGTGCCCACCACTGCAGCCTCATTAGCGCACATCAGAGGAGGAGAAAAAACACTTATTTACAAAATTGTATAACAAAAACTAAGAAAAAACATTTTTGTTTAAACATTTTCAGTTGTTTTTGGTTTGTTTAGCAAAAAATAAAAAAACCCAGAGATGATTAAATACCACCAAAATAAAGCTATGTCTCAAAAAAATGATAAACATTTCATATACAGTGTTGCATGACCGCGCAATTGTCATTCAAAGTGTGATAGCGCTGAAAGCTGGAAATTGGCCTCGGCAGGAAGGGGGGTAAATCCTCTGGAGGGTAAGTGGTTAAACAGGGTATGCAGGATAGGTGGGGGGGAGGCCATTTTTATGAACAGTTAGTGTTTGGCTTTTCTTCCAGTTTAATAGATGAATAAACATCTTACTGCACTGGAGGTTATTATATATTGTCTCTGATTGCTAAAATGATATAATTGCTGTAATATGTAATTTATGACAACGATATACCCATTTCACTAGAAACAGATATAATACAACAATTTATGTACTACTGATAGAAAATAAAGTAAGTAAAGGTTATTATGAAAAAAAAGGCAGCATTTTTCCCTGAAAGGAGAATGGGAGGTCATCGATTCCACTGGGAGCAGCGGCCTCCTACACCAATTACAAAGGAAACCAGACAACATAGTGACTACAGAGCATAGCATGTAAATGAGACCCAGTGCCCTGGTTTTACTAATGGATCACAGCATAGGCCATACAGACACAGGCATCCCAAGTGCACAGTCCCTGAATAAAGCAAGGAGGAAGGACCCGAAGTTCTGCACAAAAGGATGCTTTTAATGAGAAAGCACTGTGTACATTCAGCAAGCATATATTCCAGGTTTCACATGTAATATTCACCTTAAAATGACGTATTTTCTAAGAACTGTGTATAAAAACAACTGTTTTAAAAAAATATAATATACTGTCTTCACCTTTTATTTATTCTTTCTTACATTTCATTGCTGCTAATCTCCTGCAGTCTCTTTGCAGCCACATCCTGGATACATGCACTCCAGCAACCGCTGCATGTTATTTCTCACGGTGAGTTTCTAGATGGTGACAACAGTGGACCATGCCTACATAATGTGTGATAAACAGCCAATTGCAGTCCTCCCTTGAAGCCTGTGTGGATGGGTAACAGTGTATGAGCACCACTGGGAAACGAGGCTTGTCACCCTATAACAGGAAGTGCACAAACAAAGATCTTACGGCAGGATCGCCAATGATTGTTAATCATATTATTATTATACAGGATTTATATAGCGCCGGCCGTTTGCACAGCACTTTACAGCTGCAGATGTGAAAATAATGAAAACAGCTTTTGCATTACATTAAAATATTAAAGTGTTACTAAACCCACAACAGTGAAATCAGTCTGTGTATGCAGTAAAGCATGCCCGTTATACTCACTGTGGAACCTAAGGGGTTAATCCTCTGCAATGTGTAAAAAGGCTGTTTGATCCTGTCTTCTCTGATCCTCCCCTTCTTCCAATTGTCCCCAATCCTTATTTTGATAGTACAGAGTTCTTGGAGTCACTCTGCACATGCTCAGTTTAGTGCGTGTGGCTTGAGAGTTTTTGTTTTTTCTTCCTTTGGGAGGGTGCATGTGATCAGCAGACCAGACAGAGGGTCAGAGGTTATATGCAGCCTCACAGGACAGTCAGAGCAGAATGAAAAATCCTCCTACAAAATTAACCAGTGCTCGGCTGAACACTGATAGAAGTCACAAGACTGCTATATACTGCTGATGAGAAAGAGTATTAAGCAGTTTTTATTTACTAAAATAATTGCATTTCCATGTTCTGTGTACTGCGGGAGACCAGATATGACCAGTGAATGCAGGGTCCTGGGTTTAGTAACCACTAAAATCTCATATCAGATTTAAAGTATCAGCCTTACATATTCTTTTGAATGTAAGAAACACCAGAAAATAGGTTCTTATGTCTACATACATGACAATTAAAAATTTTAAATACATAAAAATAATACAGAGAAGAAAAAACAAAGAAAATGGTTAAAGTGTGCAGAAATGGCTTTACTACTGGCAAGAAAAAAAAGTTGTCCCACAGAGTCTTGTGAGGGTAAGACATAGGAGGGAAAGGTGGGGTCCCCATCTGTTGGAGGGAATATAGATACAGTGGGGATTGAAAGTTTGGGCACCCCAGCTAAAAATTTGTATTAATGTGCATAAAGAAGCCAAGGAAAGATGGAAAAATCTCCAAAAGGCATCAAATTACAGATTAGACATTCTTATAATATGTCAACAAAAGTTAGATTTTATTTCCATCATTTACACTTTCAAAATAACAGAAAACAAAAAAATGGCGTCTGCAAAGGTTTGGGCACCCTGCAGAGTTAATATCTTGTACTGCCCCCTTTGGCAAGTATTACAGCTTGTAAACACTTTTTGTAGCCATTCTTCCTTACAAAAGTCTTCCAGTTCTTTGAGATTTCTGGGCTGTCTGTCACGCACTGCTCTTTTAAGGTCTATCCATAGATTTTCAATTATGTTGAGGTCAGGAGATTGTGAAGGCCATGGGAAAACCTTCAGTTTACGCCTCTTGATGTAATCCCCCGTGGATTTCGAGGTGTGTTTAGGATCATTATCCATTTGTAGAAGCCATCCTCTCTTTAACTTCAGCTTTTTCACAGATGGCATCAAGTTACCATCCAAAATTTGCTGAAATTTTATTGAATCCATTTTGCCTTCTACTCGTGAGATGTTCCCTGTGCCACTGGCTGCAACACAACCCCAAAGCATGATTGATCCAACCCCATGCTTAACAGTTGGACAGAGGTTCTTTTCATTAAATTCTGTGCCCCTTCTTCTCCAAACGTACCTTTGCTCATTCCGGCCAAAAAGTTAAATTTTAACCTCATCGGTCCACAGAACTTGTTTCCAAAGTGCATCAGGCTTGTCTATATGTTCATATGCAAAGTTCAAACAATGATTCTTGTGGTGAGGACGTAGAAGAGGTTTTCTTCTGAAGACTCTTCCATGAAGACCATATTTGTACAAGTATCTCTTTATAGTGGAATAGTGTACCACAACTCCAGTGTCTGCCAGATCTTTCTGGAGGGATCGTGCAGTCAAACGTGGGTTTTGAATTGTTTTTTCTCACAATCCTGCGAGCTGTTCTGTCTGATATTTTTCTTGGTCATCCAGATCTTGCTTTAACTTCCACTGATCCTGATGACTGCCATTTCTTAATTACATTCCGAACAGAGGATATTGACATCTGAAAACGCTTTGCTACCTTCTTATAGCCTTCTCCAGCTTTGTGAGCATCAACTATTTTCAGTTTCAGTTTTCTAGACAACTGCTTAGAAGACCCCATGGCGCTGATTGTTGGGGCAAGGTCAGATGAGTCTGGGCATTTAAAACCTTTGAGATTGACATCACCTGGTCTTCCCAGACGATGATTGAGAACAATCCATGACACTGGCAGGTCTCAGCTTGGCAAAGGGGGCAGTGCATACTATAAATTCTGCAGGGTGCCCAAACTTTTGCAGACGCCATTTTTTGTTTTCTGTTATTTTGAAAGTGTAAATGATGGAAATAAAATCTAACTTTTGTTGACATATTATAAGAATGTCTAATCTGTAATTTGATGCCTTTTGGAGATTTTTCCATCTTTCCTTGGCTTCTTTATGCACATTAATACAAATTTTTAGCTGGGGTGCCCAAACTTTTGATCCCCACTGTAGGTGAGCACTCTCCTCCACAGATTGTGATCAGTTCTTGGAAAATTATATTTCAAATTACATCCGAAGTAATAGGAGTTTTCACAGCTCCTTCTCGTAGTTTAATGCTGGCCATGCACCAGCAAAATTTACTTTTTTAGAACCTTTGCTTAACCACTTGCCTACCGGGCCAATTCTAGCATTCCACTTCTATATGTAAAATATTATCATTTGTTTACTAGAAATGTATTTAGAACCCCCAAAACCTTATATAGTTTGTTTAAGCAAAGGCACTAGGGCATAAAATGATGGTGTTGCAATCGTTTTATGTAATATGGTAATTGCGTAGCAGTTTTTCAAATGCAAATTTGTTGGAAAAAATACACCTTAATGAATTTTAGTTAACACAATACAGGTGAAACTCAATAAATTAGAATATCGTGCAAAAGTTCATTTATTTCAGTAATGCGACTTAAAAGGTGAAACTAACTATATGAGATAGACTCATTACATGGAAAGCAAGATAGTTCAAGCCGTGATTTGTCATAATTGTGATGATTATGGCTTACAGCTCATGAAAACCCCAAATCCACAATCTCAGAAAATTAGAATATTGTGAAAAGGTGCAATATTCTCGGCTCAAAGTGTCCCACTCTAATCAGCTAATTAAGCCGTAACACCTGCAAAGGGTTTCTGAGCCTTTGAATGGTCTCTCAGTCTGGTTCAGTAGGAATCACAATCATGGGAAAGACTGCTGACCTGACAG